CTTTTCTTCTTTGACCCATCAGAATAATTAGATCAAGGATTTCTTGACGTCTTTCTGTGTAACGAGACCACTTTAGTGTTCTAGATGGTGTTTTGTGTTTCATTGCAGTTTCATCATGATAGTTGGACAGATCTTTGCACAACATCCCAAACAGTTCATCACCAAAAGAGAGATTGGTCACCGAGGGTACAGACTTACATTGAGGTGGAAATGTAGTGACCCCAGCATGACCTTCAAACATTTGTAAGTGTGGTGGTATGTCAGTTTTAGACCAACAATTTTCAGTATCTTCATCAGTATCGGAATCACTTGAAAGCACCACCACCTTGCACTTCTTTACAGGTCTAATAATTTCACTGTCAGTAGAATCATCTCCAGAATCATAAAAACAACCATCCACATCTTTGATCTCACTAGGAATATCTGATAAATTATTGTTAAATACTTCCAGAAACTATATCAGTTGTTGGCTTCCCTTCTTTTGCTGAGGGAGAACATTTCTAAATGTGCTAGGAACTTGAAGACAAAGACTATTCAAAAGACCAAAATACAATGTAACTGCAATGCTTTGTGGGTTCATGCAATTAATATAGGTTTTTTTTTTTTTTTGGTAGACTAACCTGCATGGTTTGTACCAATGAGACTGCTTCATTTGATGTAGACAAGACTGTGCTGACATCTAAGGTCCATAAGATATGGTGCAAGAAAAATAAGAAAACTCGTGAGTGGTAGGAAATGTGTTAATCTTAAAGTATTTCCTCTCTTCTTCTAGAGTGAAAGTCATCTAAAAAATACTTTGTAGACTGCAAGCATATCCAGACACTAAAGAAAAAAACTAAACAAAACCGAGACACATTTCTAAGATATTTGCCATTCTTTGGAGATATCTGATAAATATCTAGGCAACTTACCTACATGGTTTTTATGTTTATGAAGTCATGTCTATGTAAAACTAATGTCTCTTGGTTTAGAAAAGCCTGGGCATCAGATGTCAGGGTCAGGAACACATGGCCATGTTTTGTTCACTTGTTTTTTTCTTCCTCTACTGTGCAATACCTCTTCACATAAAATTTTTTATCAATATGAACAGTAAGGGCTTTAAAATATGGCCTCAAAACATGTCTGAGTGAAGTTGGGGTCAGTCCTGGAGGTATCCTTAACTAGCTAGATGCCCACTGAGTGTACCTGTCATTGGCTCAGCTATGCTTCCTGCCTCCAAACCCATACTCATTCTGTGGGAACCATCTTGCTTCAAGGATAAAGTCTATGATAAAATTCCAATTGATATAGATCATTTGGAGCAAGATCCTTCCATCTGTATACTTCTGTAAACTGATTATATACTTGGCTGATCTTAAAATGCTGCTCTTTAAAACCTCATGGGTTTTTCTTTTTGTCCTTTATGTGGAGAACAACTTCAGTGGTCATCCTCCAGTAAAGGATAAAATTCAATGGACAAACCACCTCTCCTGATTTTGGACAATCAAGATGTTTTACTCTCTGTCCACCAAAGAAAAGAACAAATGAATCTGCTTAGGACAGTTTTATTCCCCAATACTGAGAGACTGAGCAAGCTGAATGTAGAGGTACAAAAAGTGGCCAGAACCTGTTACCTTGGTGATGGAGCTCTGCTGGGTCCTTATTTGGACTGTTAGAGTCCAAATTTTCTGAGTTTTCTTATGTAGCCTTCTCATGAATTTTGAATTAAAAAATTAACCTTGTGACCTAATACATTTGTTTAAGTGGGCCAGACTTGATTTCTAATGCTTGTCACTGACTATCATTTACTTATTTATCCATTCTTCTCTCATATATTACATCCTGGCCAGTTTCCCCTCTCTCCTCTCCTCCCAGTCCCTCCCCCCTACCTCCCTTCTCCCCCAGACCTACTCCTCCTCTGTTTCCCTCCAGAAAAGAGCAGGCCTCCTAGGGATATCAACCGAACATGGCATAACAAGTTACAATAAGACTAGGTATACATCCTCATATCAAGCCTCGATGAGGCAACTCAGTAGGAGGAAAAGGGTCCCAAAAGCAGGCAGAAAAGTCAGAGACAGCCCCAACCCTTCTCCAACCGTAAGGAGTCCCACAAGAACAGCAAGCTATGCAACCAAAACATATATGCAGTGGACCTAGGTCAGACCCATGCAGGCTTCCTGATTGTCAATTCAGTCTCTGTGAGTCCCTGTGAGCTCTGCTTAGTTAATTCTGTGGGCTGTGTTCTTGTGGTGTCTTTGACACTTCCAGCACCTACAATCTTTCCTCCTCCTCTTCCTTGGGATTCCCCAAGCTCTGCCTAATGTTTGACTGTGAGTCTCTACATCTGGTCCTATCAGTTGCTAGATGAAGCCTCTCTTGGGGTAGGCACCAATCTACAAGTATAGCAGAATATCATTAGTAATCATTTTATTGACTCTGTGTGTGTGTGTGTGTGTGTGTGTGTGTGTGTGTGTGTGTGTGTGTGTTTGTCAGTTGTATTTGGTTCCAGGCTATTTAGCCTCTGGGTCATTGCCCTCCAGGCAATATCAGGAGTGGGCTCCCTCTTGCGGCATTGGTCTAAAGCTGGACCAGTAATTGTTTGGCCACTCCCATAATTTCTGCACCACTTTTACCCCAGCACATCTTTCAGGAAGGACAAGTTGTAGATATGTGGCTGGGTTGGTGTCCCAATCCTTCCATTGGAAGTCTTGCCTGGTTATAGGAGATGGCCAGTTCAGGCTCTGTAACCTCCATTACTCAGAGTGTTAGCTAGGTTCACCCTCATAGATTTCTGGGAGTTTCCATCATACTAGGTTTCTAGCTTGTCCCAAATATGCATCCACCAATTCCAATTGTCTCTCCCAGTACTCTCTCCCTCCACCTAATCCCTCCTGTTCACATTCTTCCACTCCACCCATAATGATCTCTATTCTATTTCCCCTTCCCAGAGAGGTCATGCTACCTCCACACTGATCTTGAGCCCTCCTTGTTACCTAGTTTCTCTGGGTCTGTGGATTATTGCATAGTTATCCTTTACTTTATAGCTAATACCCACTTGTAAGTAACTAAATACCATGTTTGTCTTTCTGGGTCTAGGTTACCTCACTGAGGATCACTTTTCCTAGTTCCATTCATTTGCCTGAAAAATTCATGATGTCATTGTTTTTGACAGCTGAGGAATACTCCATTGTATAAAGTACCACATTTTATCATTCTTCAGTTGAGGGACATCTAGGATGTTTCTAGTTCCTGGCTATTATGAATAAAGCTGCTATGAACATAGTTGAGCAAGTGTCCTTTTGGTAGAATGGAGCATCTTTTGGTATATGCCCAGGAGTGGTAGAGCTGGGTCTTGAGATAGATTGATTCCAGATTGTCTTTTGAAAACTACCATATTGATTTCCAATGGCTGTACAAATTTGCACTCCACCAGCAATGGAGGAGTGTTCCCCTTTCTCCACATCTTCACTGGCATGAACTGTCAGTTGTGTTTTTGATTTTAGCCATTCTGACAGGTGTAAGATGGAATCTTGGAGTCATTTTGATTTCCCTGATGGCTAAGGATGTTTAACATGTCTTTAAGCATTTCTTGGCCATTCAACATTCCTCTGTTGACAGTTCTCTGTTTAGAGCAGTACCTCTTTTTTTTAATTGGATTATTTGGTTTCTTGAATTCTTTGTATATTTTGAATATTAGTCCTCTCTCAGATGTGGAGTTGGTAAAAATCTTTTCTTATTCTGTAGGCTGATGTTTTGTTCTATTGGTGGTATCCTTTGCCTTACAGAAGTTTTTAGTTTCATGAAATCCCACCTAGTTATTGGTGTTATTGATGTCTGTTCAGGAAGTTGTCTCCTATGCCAATCCATTCAAGGCTATTTCCCACTTTCTATTCTATCAGGTTCAGTGCATCTGGTTCTATGTGGAGGTCTTTGATCCACTTGCACTTGAGTTTTGTGCAGGGTGATAGATATGGATTTATTCACTGATATCCAGTTAGACTAGTATCATTTGTTGAAGATGCTTTCTTTTTTTCCATTGTATATTTCTGGCTTCTTTATAAAAAAAAATCAGGTATCCATAGGAATGTGGATTTACATCTGGGTCTCTGATTCAATTCTATTGATCAATCTCCCTGTTTTTATGCCATTTTTTTTTTATTACTATAGCTCTGTAGTAAAGCTTGAAATCAGGTATGGTGATACCTCAGAAAGTTCTTTTATTGTACATGATTGTTTTAGCTATTTGGGTTTTTTTGTTTTTCCATATGAAGCTGAGTATTGTTCTTTCAAGATCTATAAAGAAGTGTGTTGGAGTTTTGATGGAGATTGCTTAAATCTGTAGATTGATTTTGGCAAGACGGCCATCTTTACTATACTAATCCTACTGATTCATGAGCATGTGAGATCGTTTCATCTTCTGATATTTTCTTCAATTTCTTTCTTGAAAGATCTGAAGTTCTTGTTATACAGGTCTTTCACTTGCTTGGTTGGAGTTACATCTAATATTTTGTGTTATTTGTGGCTATTGTGAAGAATTTTGCTTTCTTGATTTCTTTCTCAGCCAGATTGTCATTTGTATATAAGAGGGCTACTAATTTTTTTGAATTAATCTTGTAATCAGTCACTTTGCTGAAGATATTCCCTGGTGGAATTTTTGGGGTCGCTTATGTATACGATCACGTCATCTCCAAGTAGCAATACTTGGACTTCTTCCTTTCCAATTTGTATCCCCTTGATCTCCTTTACATGTCTTATTGCTCTAACAAGAACTTCAAATACTGTATTGAATAGGTATAGAAAGAATGGACAATCTTTCCTCGTTCCTGATTTTAGTGGATTTGCTTTGAGTTTCTTTCCATTTAATTTGATATTGTCTATAGGCTTGCTGTAAATTGCCTTTATTATGGTTAAGCATGCCCCTTGTCTCCCTGATCTCTTCAAGACTTTTATTATGAGGGGGTGTTGGAGTTTTTCAGAGGTATTTTCAGCATCTAATGAGATGATTGATTTTTTTCTTTCAGATTATTTATATGGTGTATTACAGTGACAGATTTTCATTTGTTGAACCATCCCTGCATCTCTGGAATGAAGCCTACTTGATTGTGGTAGATCAACTTTTTGATAAGTTCTTGGATTCCATTTGTGAGTATTTTATTCAGTATTTTTGCATCAATGTTCATAAGGGACATCATTCTTTCATTTTCTTTCTTCATTGACTCTTTATGTGGTTTGGGTATCAGGGAGATTGTGGCCTCATAAAATGAATTTGGCAATGTTCCTCATGTTTCTGTGCTATGGAATAATTTGAAGAGTATTGGTATTACCTCTTCTTTTAAATTTGGTAGAATTCTGTGCTAAAACTGTCTGGCTCTGAGGGGTTTTTTTTTTTGTTGTTGTGAGACTTTTAGTGATTGTTCTTATTTCCTTAGTGGTTGTAGGTCTATTTAAATTGTTTAACTGATTTTCATTTAACTTTGTTAAGTGGTATCTATCGAGAAAATCGTCCATTTCTTTCAGATTTTCCAATTTTGTGGAGTACAGGTTTTTGAAGTATGACCTAATGATTCTCTGGATTTCCTCAATGTCTATTATTATGGCCCTCTTTTCATTTCTGATTTTGTTAATTTGGATATTCTCTGTCTTTTAGTTTTGTTGGATAAGGGTTTTTCTATCTTGATTTTTCTCAAAGAACCAACTCTTTATTTCATTGATTCTTTGTATTTTTTTTTTGTTTCTATTTTATTGATTTCAGTCCTCAGTTTGACTATTTCTTGCCTTCTACTCCTCTTGGGTGCGTTTGCTTCTTTTGTCCTAGAGCTTTCAGGTGTGCTGTTAGGTTGCTAGTATGAGATTTCTCCATTTTTTTGTGTAGGCATTTAGTGTTATGAACTTTCTTCTTAGCACCTCTTTCATTGTTTGGTTATGTTGTGCATACATTTTTATTGAACTCTAGGAAGTCTTTAATTTCTTTCTTTCTTTATGCCTTGACTCAGTAGTTGTTCAGTTTCCATAAGTTTGTATGATTTCTGTTGTTGAAAGTCAACTTTAATCTTTGGTGGTCTGATAGGATATAAGGAGTTATTTCAGTTTTCTTGTATTTGTTGAGACTTGCCGAGTACACGATCAATTTCAGAGAAAGTTCCATGAGGCGCTGAGAAGAAGGTATGTATATTCTTTTGTGTTTGGGTGAAATGTTCTGTAGCTATCTGTTAGGTCCATTTGATTCATAACGTCTGCTAGCTCCATTTCTTCTTTTTCTTGTGCTTCGGTTGTGTTGGAATATTCAGGGATTGCTATAGTAGGATAGCTGAGTTCTGGTGGTGACATAGTGCCCTGGCTGTTGTTGATTGAGTTCTTATACTGCAGTCTAAGAATCTGCAATTGGGGTAATTGTAGGTCTAGGTGCTAATTTCTGAGTTCGTCTTTGTTGGTTGGCTGTTCTGTTCCTTGGTTTCTGTTTCCTCTTTTGTCTTCTGGCCTTTGTGGCCTGGAGTTCTAGCAGCCGATATGATCTCTGGTTCAGCAGGCAGTCTCCATCAGACTTTGGGGGAAGGATTTCTGATGGCTCTGGTCCCACAGGGGATTTCTACTAAAGTTGGGTGTGGGACACAGTGAAGAAAGAGAAGTGGAGTGGGGATTGAGGATGGTACCTAGTGTTAAGTGAACTGAGAGAGTGGAGGATGTCCTGGTATGTGTATGGAATTGGTGGCACCTATCTGGAGTTCTGGTGGCTTCTGTGGATTCTGTTCCAATAGTGAGTGTGGTGATATTTTATTTGTGTACCCCACTAAAGTTTATCTGAGGTTTAGAGGAAAAAGCCAGCCACTATATTAAACAAAGAAGTCAGGCAATGGTAGTACACGCCTTTAATCCTAGCATTTGGGAGGCAGAGATCCATCCAGATCTCTGTGAGTTCAAGGTCACACTGGAAACAGCCAGGCATGGTGGCACATGCCTTTAATCACAGCACTAACCATGGAGGTCTGTACAGACAGACAGGAAGTGACAGAGCTGGGCATAAAGAGGAAGTGATATTGCTGGGTGGAGAGAGGAAGTGAAATGTCAGGGACAGAAAGGCGTATAAGGCTAGGTATACAGGAAGTAGTTCTCTTTGGAGGCTGAGGAGTCAGCAAGGTGAGATTGGCTGTGGCTTGTCCTATTTCTCTGATCTCTCAGTTTTCACCACGATATCTGGCTCTGGGTTTTTATTAATAAGATCATTTAGCAATTTGTCTTAAAGTGAGTCTCTGCCTGAGTTTGTCTATCTGTTTTTCTGGCTGGTGTGATTTGTTTTTCTGCTTGGTGTGACCTGCACCTGTTCTTCTGACTGGCATGGCCCAGAGTATAGTTGTTCTTTTACGTGGCATGGCCTGTACCTGAGCAGAGAATATCTGCCTGAGGCCAGTGGGGATGGGGCCCAGCAGCAGGGCAGGTGGTGGGGTCAGAAGAGGTGGCAGTGGGATCCCAATCTTTCTTCTGACCAGCATGGCCTACATTTCTACATATTTTTTAAATTTAAATTTAATTTTATTTTTTTGTGAATTGGTATTTTGTACGCAAGTACGTCTGTGACCATGTGCATGCCTAGTACTTGTGGAAGCCAGAAGAGGGCATCTGATCCCTTGTAATTGGAGTTAAAGACAGTTTTAAGCTAGCAAATACATCCTGGGAATTGAACCTGGTTCCTCTGGAAGAGCAGCTGGTGCTCTTATCCACTGAGCCATCTCTCCAGCTTATCCTGAATAATTTTAACTGAGATACATCATTTTCCTAAGTCCACTCAGTATTTTTAATGTAATTTTATAACCATAATTTCTACACCTATTCTCTCAGGTAAGGACACATTCAAGGACTGTCCCACAAAAGAATCTGAGACTATTTTATATTTTGGGCCCAATTAAAGAGAAAAGTGAAATAACACATCAATTTCTGTTCAGGCTACAAGTGCTTAGATGTCTGTAAAGAACACATATTTTGATCATTGAGCAGATTAAGAGACCCACCTGCATGCCCAGGTTAGCATGCTTTGGGCACAGAGGGGAAAGCATGGGCTGGCCTGATGCCTTGTGGCACCAGGTTGTTGGGCCCTATTATGGTGAGCAAATGTATGGTGTGGTATGGGAGAGAGAAAGAGACAGAATGGTTCATGCCCTGTAGTCTGAGGCATATCTGAAGAAGTGAAGGAAATGGGGAGTGGGATGAGGTGGGTGACTTGCTAGCCACCTGGGAGCCATCTTGTTGTCTGGGCCTAGGCTGCTGGCAGTCCCCATGTCTGGGTCCATAGCTCTGCTGCCGCCGTGGTCTGTGTTGATGTCGATGGCTCCTGATAACACGGAAAACCAAGAGGATACGGTTGTACAGAGTTGGTTCTGCCCCTCACTGGCTGCGATACTAGGGAGAACTGGCCTTGCCTCTCACCAGCTGCAGCACTCAGGAGAGTGGGTCCTACACCTCTCCTGGGTAGCAAAGAAGGGCTGACCCTGTTGGCAGGGCATGGGTGAGCCGCAAGAATGTGAGCATGGGTGATCTGGCTCTGCCGTTCATTTGCCATAATGTGGTGTGGGCGATGGAAAGATTACCTTGCAGTGCTGGCACACACCTTTAATCCCAGTACTGGGAAGCATACACGCCTTTAATCCCAGGAAGTGAAGGCAGGTCAGAGAAAGGTATATAAGGCGTGAGGAAACAGGAACTAAAGCAGTTCAACTGAGACTCTTTCGGTGAGAACTCAGAGGCTTTCAGTCTGAGGATTTGTGGAAACAGAATCTGCTGAGGAGTTGGCTAGGTGAGGTTGGCTGTGGCTTGCGGTTTCTCTGACCTTTCAGCTTTCACCCCAATATCTGGCTTCGCGTTTTTTACTGTAAGACCATCTGAGATTCAAACAACACCTTGCCTGCCACCTGTGGCAGTTGGAAGACCTGGCCTTGAGGTCATAAGAGCAGGAGAGCTATCCCTGCCCCCCACCAGCTGCAGCGCTTGGGAGAGTGTCCCCCTGTACCTCACCTGGGCAACACAGTAGAGCTGGCTCTGGTGGTATAGGTGTGTGTGAGCTGGCCCTGAGAGTGTGAACACAGGACAACTGCCCGTGCCCCTTGCTCCTTGTTACATAGGGTGAACCAGTCAGGGCAATGCTGGAGAGCTCACCCTGGTGGTAGGGTTGGGGAAGAGCTGATGGGCTGACCTGAAACTACCCAGACCCAGAACCAGGGTTATGAATTGGCCCACCCCAACATCTACCTCATCCTTGAACTGCTGGAGCACATGACCAGGCAAGTCCTGCAGATCCAAAGCTTCAGGATCTCCATGACACAGGATAACAACAGGATATCCAAGAGGAGTCCAAGTGAGAGCCCAGTATCGATAGTGTAGCAGAAACCAGAGACCTAAACTAAACCAATGACTCTTTGCAATGAGCACTTGCAAGTAAAGATATATGGACTAAGGAGCATACCCCATCACTCACTGTGTTACATTACAGCTTCCATGACAAAATCTTTCTTTCATTTTTTTTCCTTTTCTTCCTTTTCTCTTAAATTTTACTTTATTTTATTTTGGTGAGGTGGTTGCAAGAGCAGAGGGTGGATATGAAGGGATGGGGAAATTAATGAGATTGAGATGCATGATGTGAAAGACACAAAGAAAGAGGCAAGTAAAAAAATCACATATTTTTGTGCCAGATTCCCAGGTTGATGTAATAAAATATAAATCTTCATAGTGAAGAACATTTTAATGTCAGATTCTAAAAATGGCAAATTAGACATGAACACAAATGCTTAAATAAAAGTGGAAAGGCTGAGTTAAAATAAAACCACAATACAAATACATTAATGGCTACCATCTGGCTCATTCCCAGATCAAGGTATATAGATACCATGGTGTCAGAGGCAGCTACAACCCCTATCTGCTGAGGCATTCTGAGTAGATCCTGGAGGAGAATATATTGAACTAACTCAAGGACAAGGCATTGAGTTGGTGTCCTCTGATGCTTCAAAGCAGGTTATACCACAAGAAGGGGGCAATTAGAGAGGACACATCGTCACAGTCCTGAACTGGACTTTGAAACATGGATGCTCCGTGTTCCCCAATTCACTCTCGTTCAGTTTATGACTTTTTATTCGCTCAGATCACCTGATTTAATGACT